CGCCCCCCCCCCCCCCGCCGTCATCCGCAGAAGGAAGTTGACTTCTGGTAGGTACAACAAGCCCATCGCGTGGAAAAATCACCGGAGGAGGTTAGCACAGCGAAAACGCACATGGATCTGTCGCGAGTCACAGACGAACCACGCAAACGGAAAACGTCACTCAACTCGGAGAGCGAAAGACTTACGAATACTGAGAGAAACACTGTAAAGACGAGTCCTGAAACAGCTGTTATGAACTGTAAATTAGCCGCTGTTAGCCACGGGGCGAGACGAGTAATCGCTGGTTGGTAAATAAATTCACAATCGTTAACGTCAGCCCGACAGTGTCCCTAGGTAAACGAATCCAGTTCACAATTTCTCATCTTTTAAGATAACTTTAATATTATCCTCAGAAATATCCCACAAGGAAGTCATATTAGCAGTGGAGACGGTACAAATAGATTTCTTCAGGTTCTCACGTCTTTTAGGTCAAACGCCGTGTGGACTCGTTCGTGAAAATGGCTCCGATGTTTCTGAGGATCATGCTGCTTCCGTCTTCAGGGCCGAAGCGCCTCACGAAAGTTAAAACGGAGCAAACGGTGCTTCATCGCAGGGAACCAGGAGACGCCCTGGACACAAGGGCCGATTGTCAGGTACACGTCGAGGGTGCCAGACGATTGGACGAACACGGCCACAATTCGTATTTTCCCGTTCCCTCTGACGTTATTTTCTCCAGTCACACCCCACATTCAACCTGAAGCGCACTCCTTGATTCGCGGTTGGTTTTCCGACGACGATATTCAGATGCGTGTTTTATATCTTCGCCGTTCACTAAGCAGGGCTTCGAGAAGCCACGTGACCAACATAACTACAGCCGCGCTGTTTCCTTCAGATGTCTTTTGCACACGTGGCGAGCCTATTCAACCAGTCGAAACACCTATTATACTAGACGTCTGCCCCATTTGTACGAGGAGGACACACACCCCGGACTAAACACTGACCTGGGACAGTGACCAATGGTCTTCTCAACCACGGACAAAGACACGTGGACAGATATTTAAAGCAGTTAAAAATCGACCTCTTTATATCTGCTTACCGCTGAGTAGGGCTACGACTACTAAATCATTAGCCACGCCTTGATCACAATTGAGGCCGTTTAAAGAACTCGTAATAAATGATGCTAAAGAAATTAGATGTACTTGTCGCAGATTAATTATGAGTCGCGATGCTTACTTAAACGAGCTCAGTTCCTAGTGCCTCGGACTTCGCACCGACGCCATGTTTATCAAACTGAAATAATATAATAGAGTTCGTTAAATAATTGTACGTGCCCGCGACTCGTTCTGAAGATTTAAGACATAAGCGAATTTCTTGCGGTCTACTGTTTCTTTACACGTACTGTACTCTCCATTGACGCTACTTTGTGACTG